GAGCCCTAGCCCTGGAAGATGCTGGGGATGGAGACAGGATCCTGGTAGTGGTGGGCAAGAGCAAGGTTCCAGCCCTGAAGGGCCTCTGGGAATTCTACAGCTGAGGACTAGCTCCCAGCATGGACTCAAGTGTTGCCTCAGGCATGGTCTCAGTGGGAAGCTCTGTGATTGGGACCATGAATGTCCTCTTGCCCATTATGCCTGGTTCTAAGGATGTCCTGAAGCCCTGGGATTCAGCCCTGGTATCGAGGAGGCAGAGAGTCCAGTTTGTTCTGCTAAGCTGGACTAGCAAGAGGTGGCTCCTTACCAGGTCTGCATGATGGAAGTCTTGGCAAGGCCACCAGTCCCTGGACAGCAGACTGGAACCTTAGTCCCACATCAGATCACCGTTGCTGCTGCTGCTGTGCCCACAAGGGGCTCAGAAGACACTGCGGGTGGGGGTGTCACACCACTTGTCCTTCAGCCATGCCCCATTCCTCCTTGGTCCTCCGTGAGATTTCTTCTAGGAACAAAAAGTGTGTAGGTACCAGCGTCTGGGCCAGGAGCCCCTCATTCTCTAGGAGACTGTTGGGAGTTCAGGGAAGCCCTGCTTGGGATGGGAGAGGAACTAGAACTCTGAACTAGTGGGGAAGGGAGCCTCATCCATATGGAAGAAGGCAGAAATAAAGCTGGGTGTTTGCTTCACGCAATGTGTTATGCTGATTGTCTGTGTACAAGGGCCTTTAGCTGGGTGGTGGTGGTGTTGGCGCACGCCTTTAATCCCAGCACTCTAGAGGCAGAGGTAGGCAGCTCTGAGTTCAAGGCCAGCCTGGTCTACATAGTTCCAGGACAGCCAGGGCTATACAAAGAAACCCTGTCTCATACTGCTTCCTCCCAAAACTAAAAAAAAAAAAATCTAGCCGGGCCGGTAGTGGTGCACGCCTTTAATCCCAGCACTCAGGAGGCAGAGCCAGGCAGATCTCTGTGAGTTCAAGCCCAGCCTGGTCTCCAAAGCGAGTTCCTGGAAAGGTGGAAAGCTACACAGAGAAACCCTGTCTAGAAAAGCAAAACAAAACAAAACAAAAATTGTATTAAAAAAATCTAAGGGTCTTTCACCCCAAGTGCCCATGAAGGCTCCCAGGGAGTCACACCCCACTCTCGAGGGCCAGCCTTCCAGAGGCGTGTAGACTGGCTCAAGGTGACAGGGCAGAGACAAAGAGCAGTTTGGTGTCCTGAAGCTTGGCTTTTGCCATCTTCCTGGAGATTGCCTCAGGGCTATGAAGACTCTGCAGCCTGTGTCCTCAGTCTAGCTTAGACTTCAGAACTGAGTCTGCTTCCCGAGACTGAATCAAAGGGCCAGTGCTGGGTGTCAGTCTCAGGAAAGGATCATGCCAGGGGATGCGAGTGAGCGAACGCTCCTTGATCTTGGATATGGGAGGTGGTGGCGTCTGGCTGTGATGTTAGTAAACTGGGGCCCTGGCGGGTTTCTCAGAAGGGCAGCAGCCTCAGTAGGAGATTACAGACAGAAGCATCAAAAACAAGGCTGCCTTGAGACCCTGAGTGTCCAAACCAGGCATATGGCACTGGGCTAGGGCTCCCAGGGGCCTCACCAGACTGGAGGAGGGGATCTACTCTAGACTGAGACCCCATCCCCAAGGCTGTCATGAGCCCAAGTTGTAGCTCTTGATCTCCAAATCCAGTTTCAGAAGATTGGGTTGAGTGAATCTGGTGGCTCCTCTCTTTGGAGGATGGCCAGGGACAAAGTTGTCCTGTTGCATACTCCCCACGGGAAGCCACATGTCCCTGTGAGAGCCTGGTCTCCATGCCAGCTCTGAGTAACGGCATGTTCCACAAGCTCCATTCTGCAGAGTGCCTGGTGGTCATCAGCCTGGAGGCTGATCACAGTGCCTTAGCCAGCTCCCCAAACTCCAATAACACAGCTATGTAGTGTTGCTCACTGCTGGGTTCATTTATTCAACAGGCAACTTAGAATGCCCATTAGGTGCCAGGTAGGCTCTACTATGGGCACCAGGGATACCATGAACAAGGTAGGGAGAGGAATGGATAATTTGCCAATAGGTAGGCGTCTTGAATTGATAAATGACAGGGACTGGAGAACACTTGCAGGCTGATGGTTAGGAAGAGCCCCTGTAAGAATACACGCACAGGCCTGTGGTTACCTGTAAAATGCTATGGTAGAGTCACCAGTGCGAGGGTCCTGGGGCAGGAAGAAGCAAGGAGTTTCTGGCCAGCATATTAAGTAGGGCGAGGCAGGCAGGGATAGACCAGGCAGAGACAGGGCAGAGTTTTCTTCTAAGAACAGCCCGGAGTAACAAAATGAAACTTAAGGCATTCTAGATGCTCCATGGGAAATAGATTGGAAGCCAAGAGACCTGGCCATTTTAGTCACGAAAGTGAGAGTGAAGGGGGCTGTGGGGTTGGACAAAAATGGGTGCCTTGGGCATATTTTGGGGTTTGAGGCAGCAGGAATGAGGGGGAAAGCCAGGTGAATAGCAACCCTGAAAGCTGAACCTAGGGAGAGGTAGGGCTGGGGGAAGTGGATATGTTAGGTCTGGGTCACCCATATCACATGGGTGGGTCAATGAAGGGGTAAGCACAAAGGTCTTGGGGCTCAGGGGGATAGCAGGATAGGAGATGTGCCCTAGCATCTAGGGGGATGCCATCCCTGGGTGGAACTCCTGTAGAATTGAGATGCAGGGGAGGAGGGATTCTAGGCCTGGACAGTGTGTTGTGTGTTAAGTCTGTGGTTCTAGAGCTCAGCACCACCAGCCCCTTTCCCCTGCTAGCCCTTTGCTGTGGAGGCCGACCACTCCATGCCAGACGTCAGCAGGAACCTCATTGTCTGTGCTGTGACTTTCAAAGGCGTCTCAAGGCATTGCCAAATGGTCCATGTGGGGTGGACAGGATACAGTCACTGAGATCCTCTGAGGCAGACTTTGAGAGACAGGATGCTGAGGAGGGATAACGCCATGAAGTATTGCAAGGTTAGGGGGCGGTCCACGCTCCTAGCCTACTGAGAAAGAGGACACAGAAAGGGGCCTGGCATGGGTGAATCACAGGAGTGGGCTCTGGAGGGCAGGCTGCAGATGCATCCCCAAGAGTCAACAAGAATATGTGTGTGGGGGGGACCAGGGGGCAGTCTGAGGGTAGTGAGGGGCTGGAAGGCTGTCCGAGAGAGGGGCAGTGACTGAGAACAGTGTGAAAGAGTGGCTGGAGGAATGGAGTCTAGGGGAGGTTGACCACATAGTGTTCTGGAAATAAGGTCTCTTGGGAGGGAGCATATGTAGCTCCACAAGGGGGTGGGATCAGTCCCAGGGGGGATCTTTAGGTCAGCAAGGACAGTGCTAGAAGCTGCTAGGCTCCACCCAGGAGACTCAGTGCCACCACCTCAGCTCTCAGATGTCACACATCTCCCTAGGTTCCCATGGCCAGATGGCTACAATCATCTTGCCCTTCTTTGAAAAAGGTATCACTTGCATGCAAAATCACCTTTCCCCTATAGTCTGTCTTTCCAAGAATATGACTCCGGGGCACCATAGGCACAATGGGTCTGAGCACATTTATGTGTCTGCCATGTACTGATAGGCCCCCACCATCCCTCACCAACCAACAACCATGGCCAGTATCAGCAACAAGGAGGAGATGTCCTTCTGATGGAGGTGGGGGTGTGATTCAACAAATCCTTTCACAACTGATTGAAAGTGTGCACAGAGCTTGAAGAGTGAGCTGGGCCTACTGATGAAGGATGGGTCTCTGTCTGAACAGAGCCCTGGAAAGGACTGGTGACATTCAGCCTGGGGAATTCCCTGGTGCTGGGACAAACTCCTACTGCCCTCCTAGCTGCAGGGTGGGAGAGCATCTTTCCCTGGTTATGGCCATTTTGGGCTGATGCCTGACTGGTCAGTAAGTGCCCAGCATGACCTGACACTTGGTAGACTTAGATTTGCCCCTTCAGAGAAAAACCAGGTGAATGTTCTTTAGTGGGACTGGGTAAGGTGGCGTTGTTCCTGCAGCATCCAGGAGACCTGGCCCTTTAAGGATAATGGACCATTAAACAGCCCATCTGATGCCGATAGTAGTCTGGGACATCTCTCTGAGTGTGGCTGGAGATTGTGGAAAGGCGGGTCATTCATGTCTCTTTGGGACTAGCAGGAATTTGCCTCAGTTACTATTTCCCAAACTTCTTTGGCTACCTTCAGTCCTTTCTCAGTGAAGGGGCTACCAGAACCTCTTCATCCCCTGTGGTTGTGGGCTCAAGCCCAATTCAACATGATGGGAAGGGTGTATCAGTCAGACCTGTCTTAAGAGTGCAGTCTCAAAGGGGCAGGTAAAACTGGCCATCCCTTTTGAGCCTGCCCTACATGTTACCACCCTCTCTGGTTGGGGCAGTCCCACATAACTGGAGATCTGGGTGTCAGGGCAGCCTGAGATGAGGCATTGTTCAAAGTGCCCCATGTGGCTGGGCATGGTGGTCTGTCTGATCCTGAGTTGGGGAAAGCCTGGTCTGTGGGCACACAAGTCACATGCCAGCTCTCACCGTGGTGGTCATGATGAGTGAAAGTCCAATAGACTCACTTGAGGTGGGGGTTGGGAGTAGACTCCTGTAGTTGGTTGTTTTTTACTCTTTGCTCTTTGTGGGGGGGCCTGCCACCCAGCTCCCAAATAAATCACACAGAGTCTTCTTACTTATGAATGTCTGGCCTTAGCTTGGCTTGTTACTATCCAGCTTTTCCAAGTTAAATTATCCCATCCATCTTTTGCCTCTGGGCTTTTACCTTTCTCTGTTTCTGTATACCTTTTTTAGTTCTTTCTCCATGGCTTGCTGTGCAGCTGAGTGGCTGACCTCTGGAGTCTTCCTCTCCTCCATCTTTTTCTCCCAGATTTCTCCTCCTATTTTTTCTCTCTGCCTACCAGCCCTGCCGATCCTTTCTCCTGCCTTGTTATTGGCTGTTCAGCTCTTTATTAAACCAATCATGTGTTTTAGGCCGGCACGGTAACACAGCTTCACAGAGTTAAACACATGCAACATAAAAGAATGCAACACATCTTTGCACCATTAAACAAATGTTCCACAGCATGAACAAATGTGACACATTTTTAACTAATATTCTACAACAGACTCTATTCTCAGGGATTAATTTATATACATTCATACAGTGCTCTTTAGAACTGGGAGCTGTAAATACAAATCCTGGCTCTTTCCATCCAAGGGAATTCCAAGGCTGTGGAGAAACCCCCTATTTTATGTGTTGGAGTGTTTTTGCCTGCGTGTATTTATATGCATCATGTGTGTGCCTGGCGCCTGTGCAGGTCAGGTGAGGTTGTTTTGATACCCTGTATCTAGAATTACAGACAGTGGGTGCTTGGAACTGCAACCCGTCCCCTCTTAACTGCTGAGTCAACTCTCCAGCGGTCAGTTTCTTCTTACTCCTCTCACCGCCACCCTAGAGAGGCTACATGAGCGTCTGGAGCTGTCCAGGCCAGCTCCTTCCTACACCGTAGCCATCAATATCAGCTTTTTCTGAGCTACCGAGAGGAAAGGTCTCATCCCTGACCTGGGTCTCTTCATGTGCAATTGGTCAAGAGGCTTCTCTCCAAACCTTACACCTTTTCTTTGAGTCTGAGCTGCCCCCCTGCTTTTTGTTTTGAGACAGGGTTTCTCTGTGTAACAGCCCTGGCTGTCCCGGAACTCCCTCTGTAGACCAGGCTGGCCTTGAATTCACCAAGATCTACCTGCCTCTGCCTCTCGGGTGCTGGGGTTAAAGAAGTGCGCGCACCACCGCCGGGCTCTGCTGCTTTCCCTCTTTAAGATTTGTTTTAAAGTATGGGTCTCTGTGTGGGTGTGTGCACGTGAGTGTAGGTACTGGTGGAGGCCAGAGGCATATCATCCCCTGGAGCGGGAGTTAGTTGTGGTTGCTGGAACCGAACTCAGGTCCTCTAAACGAGGCAATCTTAACTGCTGAGCCATCTCTCTCCAGTTGCCCCTCTCCCCTTTAGCTCCTTTGTCTTTAATAAGGGAAATTGAGGCAGCAACAGGGCAGTTGCAGTCCATCCGTCACTTCCCACCAGGGGTCACTCAGCTTTTTTTGGTGTCTCCCAGACTAGCGCCTGTCCCCAGTCTCTGCACTCAGACGGCAGCAGAGGGCGCTCGCAACACAGAGATGCACTCCCTGCACCTCGCAAGTCGGACCGAGTGGAGTCTGGGTGGGGAAGCATTAGGAAACCGGGTTCGGAACTCTCTCCCCACCCAGGTCCGGCCCCTAAGGTTCTCAGATGCTGGGATGTGGCTCAGTTGCTAGATGGCGATGTGGCTTCTTATACCTAAGCACCCCACCACGCCCCTACACGCTTCTCGGAGCTGTTGGGCTGCTGCAGGCGACATGAGCTCTCTCACCTACCGCCACCGATCTGGGTGCTCCGCCCCAGACTCGCAGACAGAAGGCAAATGGACCCTTGGGCCAGGCCGAGGTCTCAGCTCCCGGCACGCACCGATCTTCTTCTGTAAGTATCCTTCCCAGGACCTCGAAGACCCCAGACACCTGGCTCTCCGGACTTGGCCCGCGGCGGTGGGGAGGAGAAAGGAGTTGGGGACCGGGGGAGTAAAGGGTGCGGGTCGCAGGTCCGCTTTCCCACCAAACGCACCTTCCATCCACCCTCGGTCGGATCTCCCGCCCCGCCTCCTTCCCTCCTCCAGCTCCCGCCCCCAGTCTCCTCCCTCCTCCCGCGGTGCTGGCTCTCTTCCCCACGCCCCTGCGCGGCGGGCTGACTGCAGGCGCCGCACCGGGAGAGAGAGAGAGAGAGCGCCTTTTCCCAGCGCCGGCCGCACTTCCCCAGTCGGTTCTGTGCGTCCTGCAGTTGTGCCGCGCGAAGGCGCGACTTTCCTCCGGTCCCGGGACGGCAGTGGGACAACTTGGAAAACTTCTCTGGGGTGGACTGCAGGGATGCCGGGCATCGGTGGAAGAGGATGTAGGAGATCGTTGGCTGGTCCCGGGTGTCCCCGGACCTCCTAGGCCGCTATCGGTCAGGCTATGGGGCTCCAGAGCCATCCGCACTGCTGGGTGGACGACCCCCTGCTGTAGCGGAGCCAGAGTGGCGCTATCTCCTTTGGACCGTGGGTTTGGCCAGCAGCGATCCCTCTGGACGACGTATCCGGCCCCGCCATGGACCACCAAGAGCCCTACTCGGTGCAAGCCACCGCCGCCATCGCGTCGGCCATCACCTTCCTCATCCTTTTCACCATTTTCGGCAACGCACTGGTCATTCTGGCTGTGTTGACCAGCCGCTCACTCCGTGCACCACAAAACCTGTTTCTGGTGTCACTGGCAGCCGCGGACATCCTAGTGGCCACCCTTATCATCCCTTTCTCTCTGGCCAACGAGCTACTGGGCTACTGGTACTTTTGGCGCACCTGGTGCGAGGTCTACCTGGCGCTCGATGTGCTCTTCTGTACCTCCTCCATCGTGCACCTGTGTGCCATCAGCCTGGACCGATACTGGGCAGTGAGCCGAGCATTGGAGTACAACTCCAAGCGCACGCCGCGCCGCATCAAATGCATCATCCTCACTGTGTGGCTCATTGCAGCCGTCATTTCTCTGCCGCCCCTCATCTATAAGGGCGAGCAGCGCCCGGAGCCCCACGGGCTCCCCCAGTGTGAGCTCAACCAAGAGGCCTGGTACATCTTGGCTTCCAGCATCGGATCTTTCTTTGCTCCCTGCCTCATCATGATCCTCGTCTACCTGCGAATCTATGTAATTGCCAAACGCAGCCACTGCCGGGGTCCCAGGGCCAAGAGAGGCTCCGGGGAGGGTGAGCCCAAGCAGCCCGGCCCTGTCGCTCGGGGAGCTCCAACCTCAGCTAAGGTGCCAGCCCTGGCCTCTCCTCTGTCTTCCGTGGGAGAGGCCAACGGACACCCCAAGCCTCCAAGGGAGAAGGAGGAGGGGGAGACCCCTGGAGATCCCGAGTGCAGGGCTTTGCCACCCAGCTGGTCTGCCCTTCCCAGATCGGGCCAGGGCCAGAAGGTCGATGGTGGGGCACCTGCAGAGGAGGGAGCCGAAAGGCAGGATGAAGAGGAGGTGGAAGAGTGTGGACCCCGAACACCGCCAGCGTCTCCTGCCTCTGTACGCAGCCCACCCTTGCAGCGGCCTCAGGCTTCCCGAGTGTTGGCCACGCTTCGTGGGCAGGTGCTTCTGGGCAGGACTGTGGGTGCTGCCAGTGGGCAGTGGTGGCGACGACGGGCACAGCTGAGCCGGGAGAAGAGGTTCACCTTTGTGCTGGCAGTGGTCATTGGCGTTTTCGTGGTCTGCTGGTTTCCTTTCTTCTTCAGCTATAGCCTGGGGGCCATCTGCCCACAGCGCTGCAAGGTACCGCATGGCCTCTTCCAGTTCTTCTTCTGGATTGGCTACTGCAACAGCTCCCTGAACCCTGTTATCTACACCATCTTCAACCAGGACTTCCGACGTGCCTTTCGAAGGATCCTTTGCCGGCAGTGGACCCAGACTGCCTGGTGAACCTGCCTGCTCGCTGCCTGTGCCTAGGTTGATGCCAGGACCACCCGATGGTTGTCCCTCACCCCCATAGTCTATGTGGCCATTTTCCTGGGGCCCCCTTGCAGACCTCAACCTCAGACTCCCCCCAAAGGGGAAAGGACAAAAGTGCTGTTCCCAGGGGCCCATTGGAAACCTTCCCTTGCTGACTGTACTGTGGGGTAGCTCTTCTCCACGTTCCTGAGCAAGGGTAGCTTGGGTCTTCTGGAATGTAGCCAAGGCCAGACTGGATTGGAGTACCTCCCTCCCAGTCACCTGTAAGCCAACAGGCCGGGCTTCCCTTTTCTGGAGACCCCTGTGCCTTGGCAGGCCACTCACTTGTGGTATTCTGTTTTTCTTGGGTTTGGGGGTTTTATTTTTTGTTTTGTTTTGAGACAGGATCTCGAGTAGTCCAGGTCGGCCTCAGATTTGCTGCGCAGCCTAAGGATGATCTTGGAATTCTGATCCCCATGCCCTCACCTCCCCAGTGCTAGGATTCCAGGCGTTCCCCACCGTGTCTGGTTTCTGAGATGCTGGGGAATGAATTCAGGGCTTCAAGCATGCTAGGCCAGCATTCAGCTAGCTGAGTTACATCCCAAGCCTTGATTCTTCCCCATGCCTCTCAAAGAGCAGGAAGTCAGTTTTCTACACTTCCAAGGAGGACCTGCTGCTGAGAAAGAGGAGGAAATGAGGAGGATTCACCCATGTTGAGCACCTGTGGTTCCACTGGCTACTGGGGTAGGGGGTGATGGGCTAGCATTGGTTTTTAGATTTGTGGCTCCTTTAAGGTTAAAAGCATGGATCGGTTTTGTCACTCAGTACCCTCTGGGAGGCAAGTGGGCACGTGGCTGTCTCATTGGGGAGGTCTGGAAGCCTGGCCTGGCCTCAATAGGAGCTCCTGATCACTGGCATTCACCCTTGCAAAGAGCAGGGCGACAATTGCTTGCCGCCTACTTGCGGCAGGGAGATGAAAGGCTTTGCAGAGAGCTTTGAGCTCCATGGGGGAAAAAAGCTAGAGAGCCAGCAAATGTGATTATCTGGTGATATAAAAATCCCCTTCCTATGTGTTTACCACCATGAGCCTTCCTGTAGACTTTTGTTCTGTGCTTGGGGTGTGTGAACTCCTACCCCAAACTGGAAGTGGGTTGAGGTGCACCGAGTCACTCTTTCAGATTCCAGGATTTCTTTGAGAATGCATTCTTGTACCCAAAAAGGTTTGAGTTATTATGCCGGTGACAGCTTCTCCATCTGTTACCTGTAACGCCGACAGAGTTTTCAGTGGCTTGGCCCCAACCCCATTAGGGGATAAGTCCTTTGTCATCGAGCAGGCAAATCGTTTCCCTAAGCTAAAAATACTCACATCAAGGAAGCAGTCTGAGATGAGATCCTCAGGTAGGGTGCTGGGGCTGGAGCAGGCAGCCAGGGCCCTGTGGATTCTGGGAGAGCCACCCGCTCCAGGGCCCAGACAACTCTACGCACCCCATGTGGAGCCTTTGGAGGCATAACTAATTCTACCCCAGCCCAGAAGATGCCTTGCTGGCTGTTAAGTTAACCCTCACAGTGAAATGGATATGCACTGGGGTGCCTTTACCTCCTGGTTGTCTCCCCCACTTAGGAATTGTTTCCCAGAGTGACTGGGCATCTGTAAAGGATGTGTCTGGGTCTTCCCCATGGGCAGCCTGACTTCAGCTTTGGGCAATAGAACTCTTAGTCTCAGGGAGGGGTGACTTGAGCCACACAGGCTGCTAGCCCAGGGTGGATTTGTCCAATTTGGAAGGTGCTCATGGAGTTTTCACAGGTAGCAACAATGGTGGGTACTAGGTGGGTACCTGGGGAGGACGTCTGTCCAGCTTGGTCCTCGTTGGTTGGTTGCAGTTGTGAGGCTAGGACATTGACTTGGGGTGTAGCTGAGGGGCTGATTTGTAATCATCTGCTGGCTGATCTTGTTTGTGTATGCTCTGTGGGACCCAGCCCTCCTGTTGTGACATGCAGGTATTTCTAAGACTCTGAACTATTTTATCAATAAAGGCTATTTTGTAATAAGCAAGCTGAGTCCTGTGTCTAAGGGCTGCTGGGAGAAGTTAGGTAACTTCTGACCTTCCTTGAGCGTCAGCCTGATGAGCTCAGGCTCCCTCCCAGGGCTAGCTCTCCTCTCTGCCCCCACCGGTTTGGCTCTTTTCTTCCTCATAGCATTCTTACTCAGCACAAGCCAATGAGATGGACTGACCTGCAAGGGAGAGACGAGCAGGCTTCCCCGAGGAGGTGGCATTTGGGCTGGGTTGGGTCTTGGAGCAGGAATGCACCAAGAGACAAGATAGGACGGTGTTTGGGGCAGGGGAAGGCCACATACAGAGTTGATGGCATCTGGGAGACAGCTTCTAACTCCCTTGCTGCGAGGTCATGAGCAGCGAAGGTGCTGCTGCTGGTGGAGGCGGGAGGGAGGAGGCCATTGTAGAACGGTGTATACACAGCAGCCATGTTTGGCTACCGCCCCGTGAGTGCGATGGGAATGCTTTGCTTTGGCTATCCCAAATGAGCACTCTGCTCTCCAAGCCAGGAGGCCTGGTGAGGTTCCCGAAGCCCCAAGCTGTCCTGTGAGTGAGAAAAGGAACTAGCCATGCTTGGTGCTTCAGGGAGGGCAGAAGAGGCAGCCTCTGGGGCTCCAAGCTGGACCCACCTGGTTCCATGAGCAAGGGAAGAGCCAGCAGGCTGGAAGTCGTGGGCGGGATCAAGGCTTCTGGTAGATCCCAGGTTGGGGAGAACAGAGGCAGGAGCAGTGCTCTAGGGTACAGGGGTTCTCTGACCCCACATTTCCTCAGAATCTACACTTTCATCATCCTCATTACTTTCTTCGGGCCCATGCATCTGCTCAGGACAATCACCAGGATGGATGCCAGTGTGCCCACAGCCATCGGTGGACATGGGATTTGTTGCTATCCAACCCTGCTCCCACCCAGCTCCTCCCCAGCAGGGCAACCAGCACCAAGGACTCCAGGGCCTCATACAGGCATTTGCCCATCTCATCCCCGGGGGGAAATAAAACCCAGAAAGGTGCAGTGACCGCAGGGTCACTCAAGCCCCTGCTCTCTCTGCTGGACCACATATCTTTCTGTCACTTGAGTGGCTACAAGGGCCTGGGAGAAGATGTTCGCTGATCTCTGGGAATGGAAGCAGGTGGTCACCTGCTGGAGAGGACTAAACAGTTCTACTGGAAGCTGATTGAAATCCTATTGTCTCATTTAATACTCTTGCTATGTGTGGTCATTTTACAAAAGAGGAAACTGAGACACAGGGTCACCCAACTGAAACCTGGAACCACACAGCTATGACATCCAGGCTGAAGAATTTATTCTCTCATGACAGCTTTTCTTCGGTGGTATTAGCTATGTGGATGTTCTGAGGCTGGGAGCTAGTTGGATTCAGTAGGTGATAGTGCTGGGATTGATTATTCATGTCTGCCACTGACACCAAATACCTAAGAGGGAGTGCGTGCCTCAGGCTTTCCACTTCTGACAGCTGGCTGACTGCTCTGTTTTAATTCTGAGGGCCCAGAGAGGGGAGATCACTTGCCTTGGGTGGCATCACACAGACACACATGGTGGCCGGAGCTGGACCTAGCGTCCAGGTTGCCTGGCACACCAAAATTTCTTTAAAAAGAAAAGTGTATGGTTTTCCTGCCTGCATATGTGTCTGTGTGCTGTACACATGCCTGGTGCCCATCGAGGTCAGAAGAAAGCATTGCATATCCTGGAACTGGAGTTACAGATTTATTTTATTTTATTTTTATTTCGGGTGCAAGGAATCAAAACTGGGTTCTCTGCAAGAATAAGTGGTCTCAATCACTGGGTCAATCCTACAGCCAGTACTGCAACTTCTTGCTGAAGGAATTGCTGTACATGCAGAGTCAAGGAGTACTAGGTCCATGTTCAGGACAAGGCACACCTCATTTTGCTACCTTAGTTCTCGGGACTCACCCAGGCCCACACAGCTAAGGAGTGTGTGTGTGTGTGTGTGTGTGGGGGGGGGGTTGGAGGCAGTTTCAGCCCTGGCTGTCTATCTCTCTTCCCTTTCCTTTATATCCCATTCCTGAGCTTTCTGAGCCCATCTGAGGTTGGTAATGAGGTGCAGAAATGAGGGAGAAACTTGTAAATGAGGTGGAGGCAGGGGAATGTCTAGAGTGCCAACAAGGGGCCTTTGCAGTTTGCCTGCTAGAGGTGAGCTGGGAATATGGACCTTCAGAAGATCCCTTTCTATGACACAGGGGTGGTCCCACCCCAGAAGACAATTAAAGAAGCAAGCTCCCCTCCAGCTAGCCCTGCTTTATGAGAATGTATTTCTAGCACACAGGGATTCCTCAGGGGGAGGGCTTCAGAGTCAGTCCATGCTCCTGAGAATTCCTATTTAGAACACCCTGGACCACCTGCTCAGAACAGAAGGCACTGGAAACAAGGAAGGTCTTGTGGGTAATCAGGCCTGAGCCCCTCCCCAAGTTCTATATGGCCTCCATTGGGTCCATGTGTGTATGGAAAGTCACCGGAGGACCAGCCTGTAAGCAGGGCAGCTGCTGCCTGGGAGGAACCTCTGCCCGGCTAGAGCTGGTATGGGACAACCTTTGGCTTCCCTAGTGAGGTCAGGAAGTCTGGTCACAGGACCTGGTCACTCTGAGTGGTAGGGCTGGTGTAGGGCTTGTGTTTCCATGAAATCTCGGTGGGGAGGTAGGTTGCCCAGGATTTGTGCTCTGCCTCTGCCATATTGCTGGGCTTCCTTGAGAAAGGCTTCGTCCTTCTCCCAGCCTCCGTGTCTCTGCCTGCCATGGAAGATTGCCCCTATGGTCCCACAGTTCTCCGGCCTGTGGCTTCCTCTCTGCTCTCCTCCTCCCAACTCCCTGGAAGGTCCAGTCATAGGGATTCCTCAAATTAATCAGCGGTGTTAATTATTTATTCTCTCAGGGCTTGGATTCCGGCAGGATTGGGCCGTTTACCTCGCTTTTGTACCGCCGAGAAAAACAGAGCACCAAGTCTGGCGTGACAGATCTGTTCGCTGTCCTCTGAAGTATGCAACAGTGGCAGAAATGAAGACAGCCCTGAGCTGTCGGGGTCCAGGGCTTAGCACACTTTGCCTGAGATGGTGTTATTATTATCCCTGTGTCATGAAGCTGAGGTAGAAGGAGGACTTGCTGACGTCGACCCGAGTCAACACGGGGATTCAAACAACCTATGACCCCAGCCTCGGCGTCCTCGGCAGCCCCCGGCGTCCTCGGCAGCCCCCAGAGTCTGTCCCTGGGTGAACTGTAGGGTCAGTCTGGCATCCACCTTTGTGGTTTGCGGGTAGACCCTGCCTGTGTCGTTCCCATTAAAGCAGGCGCCCAGGCAGGGGTGCGAACTCCCACCCTCCAGTCTCTGCTCACTGTCAGCAGGGGAGGTGGGGCGCACTCGGCTAAAATTAGCTTCTGAGATTCTTTGTGCTCTGCATCCGTCCCTCTTCCATCCGTCTGGGGAAGGATGCTGTCAGGAGGCCAGCACTAGAAGGAGCCGGGTGTCAGCATGCACCCTCCCCAGCTTGCGGGCTCTGATCCTCTCACACCCTGCCTAGGCTCTGGGCCAAAGGCTTCTGCCCTTGGCTTGGCCTTGTGGCCACCTATCGATTAGCAGTGATTTCCAAGGGAGAGACCCACGCCATCTTCCCTCTGCCCCTGGGATTCTAGCTTCTCTGACCCCTCCCCCTCCCTTCTCTTCCTCTTTTTCCTGACCCTTCTGTGTTTGAGGATTGCACCCTCCACTCAGCCTCCCTGCCTCCTCTGGACCCTCTGACTTCTTCCTTACCCAGAGGGAAGGTCCCGGCCCTTCAGGGGCCCTTCGGGCTCCATGGACCTGTGGTAGCTGTGAGGGAACCGGAACAGTTTTGGAGACCAAAAGAGTGCTACTCTCCCTGGAAAGTTGGGGCTATTTCTGTCCTTTCTGCCTCCCTCTGGGGCTCTGGGCTCCAGAGCAGGACAAGCAGGAAGGGGAGGTCTGGGGCCAGGCCTGGGTGCTAGGGGGCTCTTTGGTTTCCCTGATAAGGGGACAGACCCCCTTTGGAGCTAAGGGATGGGTCTCTCCAATCTCAAAGCGGCAGGCTTCCATGGAATGACAGCCGCCCCCCCCCCCCCCCGCCCTCGCTCCCATGGGGACCTGGAGCCACTTCAAGAGGGAAAAGGGTTGGACTGTGACTAAGGGGACCCAGGTGTCCCTGTGTCCCTTTCCCAGCCCATCCCAGCTGCAGCTGTGAGGGAGGGAGCGTGAGAGGCTGGCTGGGCCTGCAACTTGGATTCCCTGGACAGTTGGGGGGAGGGGAGGCAAGGGTTAAACACAGCCTTCCTCCCAGCACAGGGGTGGAGGGTGGCCCAACATGGTCATAGGGTGCAGACTTCACTGGGCCCCTCCTGGAGTGTTCTTTGTCGGGTGCCGGTGACACAGCTGTCCCAGCTGGAGCCCTGCCTTCTCTGCTGGCCTGGTGGCTCCAGAAAGCAGGGCCACATGGCTACCAGCTTTGGAAAGGCTCCTTAGCTGTCTGAGAAGCCCCTGTGGAGCCCAAAGGCAGGAGTAGGAAGTTGCTGGGTGACTTGGGGTAAATTTCTTCACCTCTCTGTGCTTGTCTCTTTACTGATAAAAGGCCAGTACTAGAACATACTTCAGATAACACCCTGGGGCTGCCTCAGGAGCCACAGGGAAGGGAGAGAAGGAAGAATTGGGAACAGGGGCCTTGCCACACGTCTGGGCTTGACACTGTCTAAAGCAAGGCCAAAGGAGAGCTTGTTTGGGGGTGGGGAGTAGACAGAAAGAGAGCTGAGACCTTGTGGGAGGGAAATTTAAGATGGAAACTGCACTCTCTGGTCAGATCTTGGAGTGAGCAGGTGAGCATAGGCTGTGTTCAGAGCAGCAGAGGAGCCCACAGAACAAGGCTGTGTGGATAACCTAGCCTCAGGGGTCCAGCGCCCTCCCCCTCAGCTCTAGGGCAGACAGGCACATGGCAGGCATATAGTGAGGAGTTAGGGGACCTGGGGATAGTCTAGCAAACTGGAGCCATCTTGGCGCTAGTCATCCAATGCTGGGGACTCTGGACTCTAGGGACATGTCTTGGATGTAGAGTTTGTATTTTGTTTTCTGTTTGGTTTTTATTTCCTACAGTTTCCTCTGGAGAGTCTGCTGGGAGACCTATCTAGTTGTGGCTGAGCTAGAGGCATAAGACTGCCCTCACAGAGTTTGAGAAGGACCAGGGCAAGGACCGACCGCAGAGACCAGCTGGACCGAACAGAGACTGGAAGAGAGGGGGCATGGTTGAGGTTATTCTGGTGGCAACATGGAAAGAAAACCAGACTTTGGCCACAAACTTGGTTCTGCTGTTCACTGTGTGGCCTCAGGCAAACTACTAAACCTCTCTGAGTCTCAGTTCCCTCATTTAAAATGGGATAGTACTGGATACCTTCAGATTGGAGAGGGAAGCTAAGAGATAGCTAAGATCTATAGGCTGTCCTAATAGAGCATGGGGTTACTCTGGAACTCCAGATCCTTGGCAAGGTGAGCTGACAAAATCTTTTGCTCAGCAACCTGATGAAGGGAGGGTGAATTCTGTGTCCTGGGAGATGACCCTTCCTGAATATGCCATCGGTTCTGTCTTTCCTTACCCTTGATTCCATGGCTCCAAAGCCCCCCTGAAGGTTCTTAGGGAAATATCTAATGTGCTACATTATCTCTACACCCCACCCCATGCCAGGCCCATGCCAGACATCAGTAATAGATCCCAGAACTCTCTCTGTGAACACAGACAAAGCTGCATGAAGATCCAGGCAGACCTTTTGCACGTGATTGTTGGAATGAAAGATGAAACTGGTTTGTTCCTGAGTTCTGTGGGGGAATCCCAGCCTCATCTCATGGGAATTGGAGGAAGGGTTGTCCACCTCGGTGTCAACAAGCCATTTGGAGCAGTGAAGAGGGCTGACCCTGGAGCTTTTAGGACCTCTATATTGCTGGTGCAGCAAGGGTCTACCAGAGACCCCCAAGATCATAGAAAGCCAACAGAGGAAGCAGAGCAGAGGTCTGGGGCAGAAGCCCAGGGTGGAGAGGCAGTCTGGGGAAAGGCAGGCACCCTGAGACAAAGCAGGCAGCATGGTGGGTGCTAATGAGGATGAGACTCTGGGGTCTGCAGCCCTAGAGCTGAGCTAGAGATAGGGAGAGAAACCCTTGGAGATCTCATTCTCTCAGGAACCTAGACACAAGATAAGGATGGCCGCAGAGGCACCACACCTCATACAGACTCAGTCTCTCACAGTCTGGCCATCTGCTTCTAGGTGAGTGTTGCTCCCTGGGTTTCAAAAGGGGAATCCTAGCTCCCAATTTTCTCCTCTACCTGGTGCTCCCTAGCCATGGGCCAATCCTGAGATTCTCATCCTCAAATCTAGTATCCCTATCAATGTGTCCCCAAGATATTTGTACATTTTATTTACCATGTACCCAAGACCCCGTGTGACAGCATGAGGGATGTCCCTGACATCTCTTGGAGTGCCAAAATATCCCTGAAAGTGTGTGATCGAGGAAGCCATATTTGTGGGAATTCTTCCCAGGGATGGGGAATAGTTGAAGCCTCCAGAGATGAATTTGAGCAAGAGCAGATGTTACGTTTGCTGAGTGGGTCAAGCAGAGGGTGATCACCGAAGTCTCTGCACGGTGCAGCTTCACGCTGCCATAGTACCCTGTGCAGCAATGGCCTGGGAGAGGCTTGCCAGAGACCTCTGCCCCTCCACTCCTCCTCTTGCCTGTAGTTACAGCTTGGACAGCTGGCTCAGAGGCCATTTGAATAGTCAGGAGCTGTATGCACACGGACACCTGGATTCCTTTGCGCCTGAGGGCTCCCCAGTGTGCTCAGATTGATACTGGCCTTGAATCCCCTGCACCCCAACATCCCCTTGTACCCCAACAGTGAGGGGCATGGGGGTGTCACTCTGGAGCTCTGAAGGATCAGTGGACACCCTTGGAGAAAGGCAGGGCCCAGTGAGCCAGGTGAGCTCAGGATGGGAGGGAGAGAGGCTGGAAGATGGTGTTGGAAGCAGGAGGGTCTGGTGATAGAGCTGGGGACATGCTAGCCAGGCTCTGATTTAGTGTGGGCTTGCTCATGTCATGAGCTCCCTCCTAGGAGTAGGAGACAGGGCAGGGGGAGGCCCAGTGGCCGCTCAGCTCCAGGCACAGCTGGGTAAAATTATGTTGGGATGTCAGGGGCTCTTGTCTCCAGCAGGAAACGGGGAAGAATGTATTGGGAGGGGGCTATTGACTGGGACTATGGAGGCAGACAGGAAAAGGGGATGGGGGGGGGAGAGTGTCTCTGCAAAGGCGGCCAGCAAGCTTGTTTGTTTATCTTCCTTTCTGACCTGATATCTCTCAGGCTGTTGTTCTGTGGTCTAGTGCAAGTCATTGGACTTTGTGGGACCTTTGGTGTTCTCAGTCTGCCTACAGACACAGTCCCTGGAGGCCCTTCTGAGGCATATCCTTAGATAACAGGAGAGGAGAATTCTTCAGGAAAGTCTAGAGGGATCCAGTTCCAAAGACCTTACCTTTGGTCCTTTGGCACCTTCTGGAGATGCCCAGAATAGAGGGGGTTGGTGTTCAGGGGCTTGGCTCAGGCTGCATGCACCCAGGTTTGGCTTGGCTCTGTATGGCCTTGATCCCATTAGTTGGCAGTACCTCTTCCCACAGCACCCTGGAAGACTGGTCAGGCAGCTGGTCAGCCGCAGTTGGCACAGACCCGTGGATGTCCAGCAGACTGCCATCACAGTGCCCATGATGTTCACCTCTCTTAGCTGCCCACCAGTCTCCCTGACACTGTGAGAAGGAGACAGGCACCCAAGATGCCTGGTGGCCCTCCTGGGTACAAGCACACCAGAGTCTTGTCCTGACTCTACCCAGGAGACCTCGGAAGACTCCAGCTGCTCTCATTGCTCCCTCAGTACCTCAGCTCTCCCAAGCCTAGCCCAAGGCCACCTACAACTAGGGAGCCTCCTTTTCCCTGTCCCTGCCTCCTGACCTCCTCTCTCAGCCCCTAGAGAGCCCCCGCTGAGGGGGGACCCCCTGGAGGAATGTCACAGTTTACAGGCAGTGAGGGCAGGTCCTCTCATCCAGTCCCCGTTGTCTCAGGTCCTATGACCACAGCTGGTCTGGAGATGTGAGAGAGCCTTCAGAGGTGAGCAGGCCCCCTCGTCACCTGTAGCTGCAGGGAGCGTCCAAAACTGAGGAGAACACTGAGAGGCCTGTTGCCAGTCCCTTGTCCTTTCTCTTTTTTTTTTTGGTTTTTCGAGACAGGGTTTCCCTGTGTAGCTTTGCACCTTTCCTGGATCTCACTCTGTAGCCCAGGCTGGCCTCGAACTCACGGAGATCCGCCTGGCTCTGCCTCCCGAGTGCTGGGATTAAAGGCGTGCGCCACCACTGCCTGGCCCTTTTCTCCTTTTCATGTTTAATACTATCTATTGACGAACTCTCTAGAAATCTCATATTTCCTCAGTCCTGCCTTCCTCAACGCAGTTTTGGCTTAGTAATCACACTCTCCATCTCTCTGTCTCTGTCTCTCTGTTTCTGTCTCTGTCCCTCTGTCTCTGCCTCTGTCTCTGTCTGTCTGTCTGTCTGTCTCTCTCCCTTTCTCTCTCCCTAGAGTGTTTGGAAGCCCCCACCCAGGCTCTTTCCTCTTCCCACTAGGCCCCACCCCACCCTTGGCAGCTTTCCCAGGTTCTGAGGATAATTTTAGGGAGTCACAGGGGTCTGGGCCCCATCCTTAAGAAAGCTCCCTAGGGATGGGCCTCCGGGTGTGAAGAGCTTCCCCTGGCCGTCACCCTGACGCCAGTCAGGCAGAGCTCTGGGCTCCAGGCACAGGGTTCAGGCCTGCGGCCTGCAGAACCTCCTCCTTCCAGAGACTGGGATCCACTCACAGTCACGGCCTCCTGCCGAGGCCGTGTCTGGTTCCTGCTGCTTTCTCCCGGCCCTGCTGACCTCAGCCCTCCTTGGAGTGTTGGATGTCTCACCACCCTTTGACCTGGCCACCCTGGCGCCAGTGTCCTGGAGGCTTTTTGTGTGGGAGACCAATAACCCAGAGGACGGAGAAGAAAAGGACACCTGTGGGTTCCACAGCCCAGGCCTGGAGCTACCTAGGTTGGAAGGGGGCTGAGAACCCTAAAACTTGACCTCCAAGGCACCAAACCCACAGACTCAAAAGACCCCCAAGGTGCAGAGCTTTGGCCCCACAGTTACTCTGCGTATATGCTCACGACTCCGTTGAGTGCAACAGAAGTGGGGTCTCAGGGAACAGAATGGTACAATGGCTGTGGATAGCCAGCATGTGAAACACGCTCAGCCTTCTTCCTTTTCCCCCACACGTGTGATCCCTGACTCTGGAGGTGCTGGAGAGTGAAGCTGAAGGCCAGCCTGTCTCTAGTCTTGCCCAGGAGCAGCCTTAGCCCTGGAAACCCCTGGGTTGGGGCTGAGCGGAGCATCAGAGCTGTGTTCCTCTCTGAGCTGGCTTGCTTTGTGACCTCGGAGGAGACACTCAACCTCTCTGACTCTTGTACTAGCATTTGTATTTGTACTAGTATGCTGCACCTTTACCCCGAGGGCCACAGCAAGGGGTAGATTAGGGTGCTTGGTTTAGAGGTGTCTGCACCCTGTGACTGGCTCAGTCGCCAGCCATAGGCAGGATGTGGAGAGACAGCAAAGCTTGAGGCTATGGATGTGGCTCAAAAGGGCAACCCTGGGGTGGAATCTCGGGCTAGGGTTGTCCTGGCTAGGTGGAGGCTGGGTCTAAAATGGGACAGGGTGGGAAGAGGTCTGTCTCCAAGCTCCCATCCCTGGGCTGTGGTATCTCCGGTCTTGCCACCTCTTCCCTGTGTTATTCACCAGTCATTACCCTACATGTGACAGCTGTTGTCATGACGACACATTACCCATCCTCAGATAAAAGCCCTGCTTGCAGGGGAGTCAGGCTGCCTCTGGCTCCCCAGACTCCATCACTGTCCCTGAACCCCCTCAGGGTCCCCTAGCAGCCCTCGCTTCCTATTTGGGTCTTTCAAACAGGTCATTCTCAGCTCTTCCATTTCTCAGTGATGCTCGGTCACTTCTGTCTTTTCTCACTGTGTCCTGACCCCTCCCTCGCCCACCCCTGCTCTCCCCCCTTCTCCTCTTCCCCCTCTCTCTGATTCTGAGCCACCCTTTCCTGCTGTCTTCCCTCTGTTTCCTACTGTGGGCACCCATGACGATGGGTGGTGGGGACGGCAGGGCCTCCGACCATGATGGGATGTGTGCACATGTGTGTGTGTACGCATGTACATATGCATATGTGACCAAGAGGGCAGAAAGGCCTGAAGAAACGTGGCCCAAGGAACTGCCTCTCTAGCTCCACGAAGCCTCAACACACCCCGTCTTGTCTCAGCTCTGAAGATCCCAACAGGCCTTGCACACTTCCTGAGTGCCGACTGTGCTCCCTAAGGACACCGACTGAGGCACCAGGGCTCCGGGAGGTAAGTGGCATCATTCCATTTTTGCAGGCTAGGAAATTAGGGATCAGGAAGGTCAAACAACTCATTCAAAGCCACACAGCCGGCCAATAGAGGAGGCAGGAATTGAAGTTCCATCCCACCGCCAATGTCCATAACCATGGTGCGGTCATCATAACAACACTGTTTACTGAGCGCTCACCCAGCACCAGACACTGCGTTTAGAAGCACTTGGAGCCATCTAGTCGTCACGGTAACCTACACAGCTGGGCCCTGAACACCTACCTGGTCCACCAGTAAGGGAATCGGGGCGCGGAAGGTTAAGTCGCTTCCTCAAGATCACACTGGAGTCAGGGCTGTGCCAGGATTCAAACCCAGCCCCCCTCTGCCTCTTAACCTCCCATGCTGCATCTGAGAGACCCTTTGTAAAGTCTCTATGGTTCCAGCTCAGGCCAGTTTTGGGAAGTAGAGGAGGAAGCCATGTGTCTTCTTTCTCGAGTCCCAGGTTACTAGGAAAGGCCTGCAGGTCCCACAGCAGCGCTGTGCCCAAGTCGCCCCAGGAACCCAGGGCTCTTGACACAGCACCCAGGAAGAGCAGGAAGGAGGATAGAAGTGTGGCTGGGAAGCCTAGTGGACTGGGAAGCCTGCCTTGTTGCCGAGAGTGTCCCTAGCTCTTCTTGCCTGTTGCACAGTCCCTAGGGAACAGCCTGGGCCTCGGAACACATTGTCCCAGAGTGCTGCTGTCGGGATGATGAAGGGGCCAGTTATTTTTAACAGCTAACACTCATGGACAGAAGCCTCTTCCAAGCCAGGGACACCAGGGAGGGTAGGGACCACAAACGCCAGGTCCTTCTACTCTCTGCCGCCTCACCCCCCCTTGCTGCTGAGAGCCCGGCAAACTTGGATTGATGGGATCTTGGGTAGGATGGAGCTGGTACCTGGCTGTCAACCCTTCTTAGGAGGGCCTGGAGTGATGATGACCTCAGAAATGAGTCCCTCTCTAGAGGCTGCAGGTATGGGAGCTGATCAGGGCCAATGGCCAAGCTGGGTGGTCAGGTGGTAGAGACCTGGCCTGCTTTGGCTAGCCATGGCCCCTTGTCTTTCTGCCTACCCTGAGGAAAGCAGCTGGTTCTCCAGACCCCTCAGGCCTTTCTAGAAACTCCTGTATCTCAGGTGATGGGGAGTACACACATCAGGACCTCAGGTTCTTCCTATACCCTGGATCTTCCGTTACTGGTTCTAACACCCAAGTACTTATGACCAGGCAAGCTAGGTGCTGTGCTGAACACCCAGCTTCCTTCCTTCCTGGGTCCTCTAAGAAGGCTTGCCTTACCCACCCGTGTGGTCTCAGAGGGACCCTCTTCTGCCTTCCTGAGTCCCACTAGGGCTTTGGAGAGACTCGGCATCCTTGTATGAGTTACTTTCACATAACAGTGCCCAAATCTGACAGAAGTAATTTAAGGGAGGAAGGTTTATGCTGACCTGTGGTTTCCAGGGTTCAGTCTGTCATGGTGGGTGGAGGGGCATGGTAGAAAAGGGTAGCATACATCACAGCAAGTCAGGAACTAGAGAGGGGAATGTCGGGTTGGATGCCCATCTTTCTTCCTTCCTTCCTTTCTTTCTTTCTTTCTTTCTTTCTTTCTTTCTTTCTTTCTTCCTTCCTTCCTTCCTTCCTTCCTTCCTTCCTTTCCCTTCTTTATTTCTTCTTTATTTCTCTTCTTTCTTTTTTGTTTTCTTTCTTCCTTCCCTCCCTCCCCCCCTCCCTCTCTCTTTCTTTCCTTGGAAAGTCAGATGAAGGTATGTGTTGAAACTAGCACATTCATCCAGCAAGCATCCCCCATCTGACAGACTTGGCCAGTCAGTCTAAACCCTAAGAATAGAGCCTGCATGGAGTTCAGGCAGGAAGGCTTTGTGGGGAGCAACTGCCCCCACCACTGCTCCGACACAGATGATGAGGCCCAGGCCCAGTGCTCACTCCCAGCAGCACGCTGTTCTCAGAACATCCTTTGCTGAGACGTCTCTGTTGGTTATGATTTCAATCTGAAGCGTCCTCCACAGGCTCATGGTGTGAACACTTGGTCCTCTGCTTGTAGTACTTGTGGTGTGAACACTTGGTCCTCTGCTTGTGGTGCTCTTTTGAAGGCTGTGGAGTCCTTAGCCAAAGGATCCTAGCTGACAGAAGTCACTAGGTGGGGGCCTTGGGTCTGGTCTCCTTCTCTCTGCTTCCTGGTGCACAGCACACGAATGAGCCTCTGCCACATGCCGCTGCCTCTGCTTGGTCACACCTTGAACTACAGCAAACTTTACTCACTTTAAGTTATTTCTGTTGGGGGTTTTGTCACAGTAAAACAAAGGTAACAAACACACTGGCTCGTAGAGATGAGCCAGTGTCAACCTGACTGTAGCCAGCCAGGACTATGTACAGAGAAACCCTTCCAAAACCCCCCGGGAGGATGTGAAAGTTTTAGCTGCCTCTCCTCATCACCTGTGTTAATGGTACTGTTCCTTTGCCCTTACCTAGTTTTGAGGTATGTTTAATATCGGATGTCTTTTTGGGAAGGGGGAGGGGGAGATATTTTTTCAATTGTTTTTATTGTACTAAAACATTCATAACATGACATTATCTTAATGATTTTTCTCTCTTTGTGTGTGCACACATGTACTCACACACATATGTATGTGTGTGTTCACATATATGGAGGCCAGAGGTCTACATCAAATGTCTTCCTGCATGGTTCTCCATCTTACTTTTTGAGACCAGGAGTTAACGGCATGACTAGTCTAGCTAAGCTCCAACTCTCTGTCTCTAGCTGTCCAGGAGTTAACGGCATGACTAGTCTAGCTAAGCTCCAACTCTCTGTCTCTAGCTGTCCAGGAGTTAACGGCGTGACTAGTCTAGCTAAGCTCCAACTCTCTGTCTCTAGCTGTCCAGGAGTTAACGGCGTGACTAGTCTAGCTAAGCTCCAACTCTCTGTCTCTAGCTGTCCAGGAGTTAACGGCATGACTAGTCTAGCTAAGCTCCAACTCTCTGTCTCTAGCTGTCCAGGAGTTAACGGCATGACTAGTCTAGCTAAGCTCCAACTCTCTGTCTATATCTGTCCCACAAGTAGCAGATGCACACTGTGAGGCCCGGTGTTTTTACGAAGGTACTGGGGATCTAAACCTAGGCCCTCCAGCTTTCTCGCCAGGCACCTCACCTCCGGAGCCACGCCCTGCCTCTATCTGAAAATATTTAAATATTCAACAGTATTGAGCATACTAATGATGTGCAGTCATCATCTGCCCATCTTCAGAACCCTTTTCAATTCACAAAACTGAAACTTTAGCCATTAAACACTGGCTCCCTCCTGCCTCCACCGTCTCTCCCCAGGAACACTGTGTCAGGAGGGCCATACAGTATTTGTTTTCTTGTAACCGGATTATTTTATGGGGTGGTGTGATGGTTATGAACGGCACCAAATGATGGTCATGATAAACGACACTGCTGGCGGCGCTGGTTACCGGCGGAAAAGTCACAGGCCACGACTACCAGAGTTATAAAGAGCTTTATTGGAAAGAGGGAGGAGAGCCAGGCCTGGTCAGAAAGGAAGATGGCGGGAGCAGAGGGAGAACACAGAGAGAGAGTGTGGGGGTCCGAGTCCGGCTTTTTTTTTTTTTTTTTTCGAGACAGGGTTTCTCTGTGCAGCTTTGTGCCTTTCCTGGATCTCGCGCTGTAGACCAGGCTGGCCTCGAACTCACAGAGATCCACCTGCCTCTGCCTCCCCAGTGCTGGGATTAAAGGCGTGCGCTACCACCGCCCGGCTACATCCGGCTTTTTAAGGCGGGGATTGCATGACCACACGGAGGGGACATAGTCGCCAGTGCCCGTTGATGATGTAAGACACAGGACCCTGAGCTGCGCATGCACAGAATCCTAACACGGTGTCCTCGGGTTCATCCACGTTGTGGTCCGTGCTGTGTTTTTAATGGCTGGATAAAGTTTTCTTGTGTGTCATAGTCCCCTGCTCGTCAGCCCACCAGCTTGGAATCGATTCTGCCTTCTGACTTGACTCATACTGCTGTGAAGGTGGTGAGCTCAGCAAGAGAGAAAGATGAGGAGAAGGATGGGGCTGTGGGGACGAGCCCCGGAGCTCTTTCCGGCCCCGGGGCACAGTTCACAGCGCTGGCTGACACTGGGACTGCATTTCGTTTGTATAGAGGTATTTCAATGAAAACATTCAAAACAGCCACGAATCACACACGAGGTCTAAGTGCACGCGGTCTTTTCCGTTCCTAGATGAAAGCGTGTCATTTTCTAGGAATCTCGCAGATACAGCATGTACAGTAAGAGGCCGCGTCCTAACCCCTCACGCAACCCTGGTGGCTCCTGCTTTTACGTTACCAGATTGTTATTGCATCCCAGGCACCTTCAGAGTCGCTCTGTAGTCTCATTTATCAACAGAAAAGGAGAGCCATACAGATGGCTCAGCCGTTAAAAGCTCATAATACTTTTGCTGAGGACCCAAGTTCAGTTCCCAGCACCCATGTGGCGGCTCCCAACACCTGCAACTCTAACTCCAGGGGATCCGGCATCCTCTTCTGGCCTCCATGGGCACCTGATTCTCGTGCACATACCCCAACACCTGTACATAATTTAAAAATACTTTTTTTTTTTTTTTTTGGTTTTTCGAGACAGGGTTTCTCTGTGTAGCTTTACGCCTCTCCTAGAACTCACTCGGTAGCCCAGACTGGCCTCGAACTCACAGAGATCCGCCTGGCTCTGCCTCCCGAGTGCTGGGATTAAAGGCGTGCGCCACCACCGCCCGGCCAAAATATTTTTTTTTTAAAGAGGGAAAGAAGAAAAGAAATTTCTTAGCAGCTCTTTAAGATGAACTTGAAAGCCGCCCAAGTGGTATAGACGGCATCTGCTAAGTCACTTGGCTACCACTCTTTGAGCCCACTCCCACACCTGGATCCGTCTTGTTCTTCACCTGAGCGTCCTTCTTTCTGTTCCTAATGACCTTCAGTTCTGCTTCATACGGGTTCATCTGGAAAAATTTTCCACTGTGTGTCTAAGGATCCAGTTTTGTCTGAGAGGAGATCACTGACACAGAGCGTTGGCTGCCGCTGGTGGCCGTGCTGGATCCAGAGCCTCAGGCCATCAGGCTTGACAGCAGGTGCCGTTACCTGCCGAGCCACGTCACTGGCCGTCCGTCTGGTTTACGGGTAAATACCCAAACGTGGAATTGCTGATTTGTGTTTTACTTCACTATTCTTCTATTTTACATTTTATTTAGACAAGATCTCATAGAGCCAAGGCTGGCCTTGAACTCACTGTGTAGCTGAGGAAGGGCTTGAGTTTCTGATCCTTCTGCCTCCATCTTCCAATGTTATGGTTACAGGTGCACACCACCACTCCTGGCTTTATTTTTAATTTTTAAATAATCACTATCACCATTTCCCACACTAGCAGTATTTTTTACTTATTAGTTTTTTTTTTTTTTTACTTACTTAGTTTTAAGAGATTTTATTTTGTTTTTTAATTATGGGTATATCTTAATCAATGGTCTATTGCTACGAAAAGACACTGTGACCACGGAAACTCTTATAAAAGAAACCATTTAACTGGGGCTCACTTATAGTTTTAGAGGTTTAGTCCATTATTGTCATGGCAGGAAGCATGGTGGATGCAGACAGGCATGGTGCCCCGGATGTAGCTGAGAGGGGGGGGGACGGGACGGGGGGGGGACGGGGGGGGACACGGGGGACGGGGGGGACACAGAGAGAGAGAGAGACAGAGAGAGACAGAGAGAGACAGAGAGAGAGAGACAGAGAGACAGAGAGACAGACTAGGCCTGAGTTGGGCTCTTGAAACCTCCAAGGCCACCCCTAGTGACTCACTTCCCTCAACAAGGCCACACCTCCTAATCCTTACAAATAGTGCCACTCCCTAAGCATTTAAATATACGAAGTCATTCTTATTTAAACCACCACAGTGTTTAAGTACATCTCTCTCTCTCTCTCTCTCTCTCTCTCTCTCTCTCTCTCTCTCTCTCTCTCTCTCTCTGTGTGTGTGTGTGTGTGTGTGTGTGTGTGTGTGTGTGCTGGTGCCGATAAAGGTCAGAAGAGTCAGACCCCTCTGGAGCTGGAGTTCTAGGTGTTTGTGAGCCTCCCAACAGGGATGCTGGGAAAGCAGACGCAGGTCCTCTGTAAGAGCAGAGCTCTCTCTCCAGCCCTCTGTTGTGTTTCTGAGACAGGGTCTCATTACGGAGCCTAGGCTGCTTCTGAGCTGATCCGTGGCAGTCCTCCTGCCTTCGTTTCCACAGTGCTGGGATTACAGATGTGGACCACAAGGCTGGGCAGCTGTGCTAACATCACATTCTCTCCAGAAGTGAGCAGGTGTTGCAAGCTATTTTCTGTTTGTTTTTTAAAAAAAGAACCATCCAGTGGACTTCAATTTACACGTTTCTGGGGCTAGGACCTGGTCAAGTCTTTTAACCCATTTTTTTAAAAAAATGTATTTTCACATTATTGATTTGTGGCAGTTTACTCTCCTGACTAGGGTCTGTTTGTAAGGAAATGCGTTTTCTATTGGTGTAGATGAACATAACATGAAGTTAGCCGTTTAGAATATATAAACTGCATTGGGAGATGACTCAGTGGGAAACGCGCTTGCTATGCAGAGAACCTGAGTTAGGATCCCAGGCACCCACATTAAAGCCCGGTGTGGCTGTGAGTGTGCCTGTAATGCAGCACTGGTGGGGTGGAGGCCAGTGGATTCTGGGAGCTCACTGGCACACACATACACACACACACACACACACACACACACACACACACACACACACACACACTGTGCATGCAGTGGACGGTGCTGTCACAGAGCTGTGCAACTTCCATCACAACTTTTTTGTTGTTGTGGGGAGTGCTAGGGACCGAACACAGGGCCTTGTGCACACTGAGTGCATGTTCTACCACTGAGACCCTTGCTCAGCCTCCCTATTTGTGTCTTAATGTATGAGAATTCCAATCGCTTAGGCAGGACTCCAGAAAGCAACACATGAGCTCCCTGGGCCTGGAGTCTCCAATTTCTGGGTGTGTGTCTGGTCAAGGAAGCTGCCAATGTCCTAGTCTCCCAAATGGCTCTGTTAGTGTCTCCACTAGGTCTCAGTCACAGGACCCTTCCCTGAGGAGGTTGCTGGGTGATTGGCTTCTCTGCAGGGCACATTTCCTGGGCTAATTGCACCTGCAAGGCTTCAGTGATGTCCTCTGTGCCTGCCATGAGCAAATGTTATTATCGGTCCTCTGCCCCGTGGCTTCCAGACACTGGCAATTGAATTACCGTGGTCCACCCCTCAGCTGTCCCCTGAGTGGGCTGAGGTCCTTCCTAGTGCCCCTGCAGAGAGGTGAGGATGGAGCTCTTGGGGATGGCCTGGATGGAGGAGGATAAACTCTGGAGCAGGCTGGAGGGACTCAGCTGTGGAGTCACAGGGACAGCCTGGGTGCCTTCTGCCTGCCTCCCCAAGGTCCTCCTCTTCTGTGGCCTTATCTCCTTGTAGCCCAGCCTTGCCTGGGGCACTTCCCTGATTACAGCCTGTTGGTGGCTCCTTGCTGCCCACATGACGAAGCCCAGGCACTAGCCTTTCAGTCTCTGCCCAGGCCTCCTGCGTAGGCAGGCAGTAGCTGGGGTCCTGGCATGGTTGGGGTCCCTCCCTGAGTTGCCTTCATCCAGGGATGAGTCAGTGGTAAAGATGGACTGGTGAGATGCATGCCACTTCCAAGTGACAGATGAAAGCCTCCCACACACGGTCCCCCTCAGTTTCCTTGGCGCTGGGTCCTTAAAGGCCACAGGCTAAAAATGAGAGCACCAGAGGAGAAATGGATCTGGTTCCTGCGCAAGTGTTTGAGCGCAGCCTGGACTGTGGGAGAGTATGGAGTCACTTGCGCTTGGCTGCAGGGGTTTGGAGACTCTGTTACAGTCACTAGGGTACCCCAACTTACGGGAATCTTAGGTACCACAAAATGACTAGAGAAATGAGCCTCAGTTTTCTCAAAGTGAAGTGAGATGGTAGCCCTTGTAGAATTACAGGAAAGATGGAACAAGGAGGGGGCACCGGGCACCTGGCACTTAGCCAGCTGTTCTGCAGCTGGAAGCAAAGCAGCTGTGATGACCTGGACAAGACCCTGGGAAGATGGGGTTATTACCATTTCCTCATGGAGGGTCCTGAGACTCCAGTTGTCACTGGATGAGGTAAAAATAACGGACTGGGATGGGGCTTCTCGGTGGTGTAGCTGTGACTCACCCACAATCCTGTAAGTAACTCAGTAAACACATCAGTTCACCAAGCTGGACTTGAGCAGAATTCTTTCTTTGGGCCATTGGTGCCCTTTCTAAGTCAGGTGAACAGATAGATGCCTTTCTAAATCTATCTAGGAAAATTCACAGGACAGCAGCCCTCTGCACTACAGCTACTTGATGTCAGCTCTAGGCTTTTGTGATATCCATCCTTCCACATCCCCCCTTCTCCCCCGTTCCTTCCCCTCTGCTCCCAGCCTCCTTTCCTTCTGTTTTGAGACAGGGTCTTGCTATGTAGCCTCAAACTTGCCATCCACCTGCCCCAGTCTTCTGAGTGCTGGGGACTACTGGCAAATGCCTCCAGACCTGGGATGTGCCTGGATTTTTGTGTGTGTATGTCTGCCCTTTCCATTCGGGGCCCACCCTAGGCTCATCTGAAGCTGAGGTCTTTGCTGAATCTCTAGCCCTTGGGATCCTGCTCCTAGGATCTGTGGCCCAAGACCACATTCTGCACGGACTTCCATTGCTGTCTTTCTCAGCATTCTGTCTGTCTGTCCTTCTGCCTCTTCTATACCAGATACCACCAGCAGTCAGCATAGAGCCTTATTCAAAATGAGATCTACGAATTGTTCTTTTATCTGTAGATGAGACATGTCATGCTTGCTTTAGGCTGGGTCTTGCAGCCTGGGATGGACCAAGGCTCTGAAGGTGGGAAAGACCCTGAGACTCACAGGGGACCCTGGCCCCACTTTAGGGTAGAAGACCCATACTTTTATCACTGCCTACGACAGTCCTCTGCGCTTTCTCTCTCTCTCTCTCTCTCTCTCTCTCTCTCTCTCTCTCTCTCTCTCTCTCTCTCTCTCTCTCTCTGAGGCCCAAGGACGGTAGCTGCTAAGGCAAATTGCCACTGAGTGAGACTCAGGTGAGGTCTGGAGTCTGGATACCTTAGCTGCACCCAGAGTCATTCTCAGCTGTTGGCTAAGGATTCTCTGGTCTTATTTCCCTGCTCCAGAACCCACCAGCTGTTTGCCAGATGCAGCTGGGGACAGCTGGGTGTAATGACAGGAAGCCCCTAGACAGCTTGGGGTTCTTAGGCCAGAACCCAGATGTAAGCCAGCCCTCCTGTGGCCCCTTCCTGCTCTACCCTCCTGCCCGCTGCCATAGCCTTCTCTAGAGAGTCTTCCCTGTGCATGGACTAAGAGTGTGACCTTTCCCCCTTTCAGCCTCTGTGAAGGATGGATGCAGATGAGGGACTGGAAGACTCATAGGGAAACAGCCCTACCTATACCCAGGAGGCCTAGGTGGACTGGTGGGGGTACGTAGGAACTCAGGCAAGGTGATGAAGGGACACATTGCCTGAGGTACCTGGTCAGCTGAGGTTTGGAGTTTGCTAAAACACAGAAGGAGAGTCGAACCAAGTTGGGCCAGGTCTGAGACAGCCAGAGAAAAGGATCCAGCTGGCCCCTTGAGGCCATTGCTCTAGCTCCAGTTTGGAAAGAAGAGTCCAGCTAGACTGTAAGGTGACCCCCCCCACACACTTCTGCTTCCTTCACCAATTTTCTGCCTCACAGGAGGGCCGGAGAGCAGGACAGAATGGGGTCTGTGTATGGATCAATGGTTCAGAGGGAGCCGCCGTTTCTCCAGGATGCACAGAATCAGGTCAACCGCTCTCAAACTGGCTGAGGATCCTCTGCAGTGTGGACACGCAGGGATACACACCTCCAGCTCACCTTGGTTCCTGGAAGCTACCCCAGGGGAACTTAAAGGTGGTTTGGAGAATAACCTTAGCCCTGTGGCTTCCTGTCCTCAATTCCTCCTGACCCACGGGACAGCTGCAGCCTGCAGGTAACCTGTGCCCACAGACCACACGCTGAGGCACCTTTCCAACCTGTATGTACATGCAGACACTGTAACGCTGCCATGGTGGTGACACACAGATGGCTTTCTGAATGATCGAAGGGGACATGCTTTCAGTCTTGACATTTCTCCAGTCCCACTGGCTCCAAGCACCCCGGCTCCCCACTGGCCATGTGTTTATGATCATAGCCCCCTGTCCCGCTCAGCTCCAGGTGCTACCTTCCAGCCAACACAGCAGCAGCGTCTCCCTGTGGTGCTCATGGTTACAGGCCCCCGGGAGCAGACCCAGCTGCAGTCATAATTCAGAGAACTCTCAGGTCGCTGGAAACTCAGCTGGCTTCTGTTTCCCACCATGACAGAAAAGGCTGCACTGAACCTCTGCTGAGCCTAGAACTTGCCTTTCCAGGGTCATCTCTTCCCCTGGGATGACTCCTAGGGTAGATTCTCAGAGACGCGGCTCAAACGCCTGAACCCTGTGGACTGCATAGAAGAGGTGGTGACAGCCTAGGAAACTACCTGCTCTCTCCTTCCTATAGGTAAGGAGACTGATGTCACAGAGAGGAGGTGATCCATGGGAATGGAGCCCAGCAGGTCAGCAACCTCTGTGGCCTCTCACATACCCATGATGCACACATATACACCCAGGCACACACACACATAAACATATACTAAAATAAATAAATATTTTTAAAAAATTGTGTGCCAGATGTGATAGCACATGCCTATAATCCTATCATTTGGGAGGTAGAGGCAAGAAGACCGGAAGTTCAAGGCTAGCTTTGGCTACATTGGAAGTTTAAGACTAGCCTGGGCTACATGAAACCATGTCTCAAAAATCAAATCAAAACAAAACAAATATATTGTGGTATAGAACACCTGCCATATAAACTACACATTGCAAGCTGCGGCTGTGACTCAATGGTAGAGCCTTTGTCTCAAATGCATGAGGCCCTGGCTGGGTTCAGTCCCCAGTCCCGCCAAACAACAAAAACAAACGAAGACAAAAAAACGAAACACTGCCGGGCGGTGGTGGCGCACACCTTTAATCCCAGCACTCAGGAGGCAGAGGCAGGCGGATCTCTGTGAGTTCGAGGCCAGCCTGGGCTACCAAGTGAGTTCCAGGAAAGGCGCAAAGCTACACAGAGGAAACCCTGTCTCGAAAAACAAAACAAAAAAACAACCAAAAATAGAACAAAAAAAACCCACTGCAAACTTCAGTGACTTTCAAAATATCCAGAGTAACATTATCAGCAATTTGATAGTCAAATATTTTCATCATCTCCCCTAAGAGCACTGGATGCCCCACTCCACTGTGACCTCACCTTCAGTTGACCAACTGTATGTGTGAAGATCCTGGATAGAGCCAGGCTCCAGGTGGGCACGAATCTGGGGACAGGCCTTCAACCCATCACAAACAGCAAATTTGTTAAAGAAGTCTAAACGGGGGCCACGTAGCACAATAGTAGGATGTTTACCCGGAGTGCACGAGGCCTGAGTACAATCCTTGGTGCCACAAAAACCCAAACCATAACAAAACAACCAAAGACTGTGTCGTGGGGTTTTGTTTGTTTGTTTTTGTCTATGACATTAGCTAGGGTCATCTAGGAAAGAGGGAACCTTGGTAAGAAAATGCCCCCATGGCCAGGTGGTGGTGGTGCACGCCTTTAATCCCAGCACTCGGGAGGCAGAGCCAGGTGGATCTCTGTGAGTTCGAGGCCAGCCGGGGCTACAGAGTGAGTTCCAGGAAAGGCGCAAAGCTACACAGAGAAACCCTGTCTCGAAAAACCAAAAAAAAAAAAAAAAAAAAAAAAAAAAAAAAAGGTAACAAAATGCCCCCATGATATTGGCCTGTAGGCAAGTCTATGGGGGCATTTTCTTGATTAATGGTTGAGGAGGGAGGGCCTGGCCCACTTTGGGCAGTACCACCCCTGGGCAAGTGGTCCTGGATTGCATGAAAAAACAGGTTGAGCAAGCCATGGAGACAAGTCAGTAAGCAGTGTTCCTCCACAGCCTCTGCTTCTGCTCCTGCCTTGAGTTCCTGCCCTGTCTTCCCTTCATGATGGACTGTAAACTGTAAGCTGAAATAAACCCTTTCCTCTCCAGGTTGCTTTTAGTCATGGGCTTTATCAAAGCCATAGGAAGCAAAATAGGACAGAAATTGGTATGGGAATGTAGGCTATTGCTGTGGCAGACCTGACCATATTATTTTGGAGAAGGCTGTGGAAATGTTTAGAATTTTAGTCTGGGAATCCATTAATGCTCCAAACTTAATGGGATGTTTCGTAGGAACTTGGGAATTAAGGATGCTGAGAGCAGTGCAGACATTGGAGGCCTGGCCTGGGAAGTTTCAGAGTCTCTCAGATTCTATTGGGGGCCATTCATGTGATATTCTGTATTAAGACATGTATGTGGTTTCTGGGCTGGGAATGGTGGTGCATGTCCTTAATTCCAGCACTTGAAGGGCAGAGGTAGGCAGATCTCTGTGAGTTTGAGGCCAGCCTGGTCTAGCAAGTTCTAGATCAGCCAAGGCTATGAAGGAGAGACTCTGTCTCAAAAAAAAAAACAAACAAAAAAAAAAACCTAAAGCAAACCATGACCAAAAACCAAAACCAAAACCAAAACAAAAAAAACAAACAAATCCCCAGAAGTCTGCAGTTCTCATCAGCTGGGGCTGAAGCATCACCTGTGATTAACAAGAGACCAGCACTGCTGAAATGAAACCTCCGCTTTGCTGCGACCATCAGTGCCGGTTAGCCAGGGCCGAGGAGTCGACCGTCATTCATAGAGAGCAGCATCACTGAGCTGACCATCTGGAAGTACTTCCTCAGAGCCAGTGACTAGAAGCTGTGGTCCAGAGGGAGCTAAGGCTACAGCTCAAGCTGGCAGCCAAACTTGGTCATGTGTAAGAGTCTCCTAGGTGGTACTGGTTTGGGCAGCACAAGAGCTGCAGGATTGAAGGGGTTGTGGAGAGCAGCCGAGGCTCAGCACTGTGAGGGCCAAGAAAGGCCAGTGGTGAAGTGCAGCGTCAGTTATAGTAGAAGGGAGGACTGGAAGGGTCATGGAGAGAGACTGAGGCTTGGCAACACGTGGCAGGGTCAGAGTCCCTGGAAACAGCCCAGGGGGGCATTGGTGAGGGTGCAGCCTCAGTTGTAGTGGAGACCAAAGACTGTTGGAGATGCAAGGACTGTGGGCCGACCACCAAGCAGCAGGCGTGGCGTGGAGCGGCCTGAGCACAAGGTAAACTGTGTGTGGTGTGGTGGCAGAGCCAGAGAAGGGTGACTGTTCGAGCCCCTTAGGGCCCAGGAGAGCATGAGGAAGTGAGGTCCAGCCATTGCACACTGAGTTATTCACACCGATAGACTTGGTTTACTTTGCTTTGCTTGTGACTGCGTCCCCGTCTCCCCTCTTGGAATAAGCAGTGTGCAACTTGTTTTTAATTTTATACAAGCCCACAGTTGCGAGACTTAGGATTTTTCAAGATGCTGGATAATTTAAAGAGACTGAATTTTTTAAATTTTTTTATTCATCTATTTATTTTACACTCCAGCCTTAGCCTCCCCTCCATCCTCTCTTCCCAGTCCCTCTCCCCCATTCCCCACTTCTACCCCCCATCCTCTTCTCTTCCGAAAGAGACTGAATTTTTTTTAAAGTGTCTGAATGTTTTAAACACTGTGGGATTTTTAAAGTTGGACTATGTTTCATATTATGATATTTACTTGAGATCTTGGGGATGAACAAAAAAAATATTTTGGTTTAATAATGATATATTTGTATGTCAGGTTGCAAGGGGTTAATTGTGATGGAAGTGGGAAGCTCAGTTAGAAAATGCCTCCATCAGATTCTGTAGGCAAGTCTGTAGGGCATCCCTTGATTAATGGTTGATATGGGTGAGCCCAGCTCAGGGTGGGTGGTGCCACCTCTGGGCAGGTAGTCTTGTGTTGTGTAAGAAAGTAAGATGAGCAAGCCATGGAGTGAGCAGCATTTCTCCATGGCCTCTGTTTCAGTTCCTGCCTTGAGTTCCTGTCCTGACTTCCCTTCATGATGGGCTATAAGCTGTAAGCTGAAACAAACCCTTTCCTCCCCAAGTTGCCTTTGGTCATGACTTTTATCACAACAGTAGTGGACAGGCTAGGGCAGAGCCCTAAACGGTCAGGCAGCAGGCTTCCTGGTGCCAGGCAGCACATGCCAGCATAGCTGCTTTAGTGGTTGCATGTTCAAATTCTTCCCCAACGGATGGCATGTTTAAAGGGAAATTCTGTAGTTAGAACCTTATTGTTACAGTTCATACTGTCTACGGAAACTCACTTAGCCCCCTAAGAAAGCACTGAGGGTGTAAACTTACCCTGACCATTGCATGTGTGCGTGGGACCTGGGGAGTAGTTACACGTGAGGCCAGATGGTGCTGATGTAGCCACAGTGGACACAGGTACAGCGGATCCTCCATCGTGGGACTTGTTACCTTTCTGATTGCTATGGCCAAGCAGCTTATGGGAGAAAGGGTTTGCTCTGTGTTACAATTAGAGGGACACAGTCCATCATGGCAGGGAAAATAAGGCAGCTGGCCATGTTGCTTCAGCAGGCAGGAAGCAGAGGGATGAATGTGGGTGCTCAGCTCACTCTCCTCTTTTTATTCAATCCAGGTCCCACAGCCCGTGGGCTAACATCCATATTTAGAGAAGATCTTCTCAGCTCTATTAAGCAAATCTAGAAACCCCTTCCAAGATGTGCCCATTTTCTAGCTGATTTTGGTTTCTGTCAAGTTGGCAGTATCAACCATCATGCATCCGTGTGTGTGTGTGTTTGTTGTTGTTTTTTGAGACAAGGTTTCTCTGTATAGCCCTGGCTGTCCTGGAAGACATGTAGACCAGGCTGGTCTCGAAATCACAGAGATCCTCCTGTCTCTGCCTTCTAAGTGCTGAGATTAAAGGCGTGTGCCACCACTACCCGGCTTCCATCACGCATTCTTTTGATTGGTTGGTATCCCTGCCATTCTGGTCATTATGTATTTTGAAAATCTCACAATTACCTTTCTAGGATTGCCAGAACAAAACACCATGGACTAAGTGGTTCACACTTGGGACATTTCTTTCTCACAATTCTGGAATTGGGAAGAGTGAGACTGTGTGTGTGTGTTGGGGTGGTGCGGGTTGGCTTCATCTGTAGCCCCTTCTCTGTATCCATAGTTTCCCAAGGTCCATCCTATGCCTGTGTCTGTGTTCTTGTCTCTGCTCAGCAGGTTTCAGGGGCACCCAAATGATCTCACTGGAACTCAACTCAGTCACTGTTTAACTTTTAATTGTGTGTGTGTGTGTGAGAGACTGTATGCATGCATGCATGCCGTGTGTATGGATGTCAGATCCCCTGGAGCTGGAGTTACAGGCAGTTATGAGCTACCCAGCAGGGGTGCTGGAGAGTGAACTGCAGTCCCCTGCAAGAGCAGCAAGCATTCCTAACTGCTGAGCCATTGCTCAGGCTGAGGGGTTCTCAACCTGTGGGTCATGACCCCTTTGGCAAAACTCTATGGCCAAAAATATTT